TTCTCATACTCTTAAGAATAGAGTGCAATTCTTGTGGTGTATTTTCTAGAATAATCAAAATACCATCCAGCTATGTTTCATCATCTAAGGATGTTGTTTATTCTGAACTCCTATTAAAAATATTCAACACTCTTAGAAATTAAAGATGTATTTATAGTAAGCTGAACCTAGATTTTTTTAATGTGAGCTATCAATGTAATAATGTAGTACCCACCTGCCATGAGGATGCTTGCTCAGTGTCAGTTAAAAGTCGTCCCAGTTTGTCATACAGGTTACTTAATAATTCTGCTCCAAGCATCTCATATACATACATCAAAGTATCAGAAATATCAACCCTATCAAGGAAAAAGCATTTTGTTTGAAATAATTATGAAAACAAAATTATAAACATTTGCAGCTAAAATTACATAAACATATTAAGTAACTGAAATATCTTACTTATACTGAAATATCTTACTCATTTCAAGCATAGGTTGATGTTAAGCCAAAAATTACATTTAAGAGAAACTGGCAGCACACAAAAGGAGCAACAGTGATCTATATGGCTCCTTACGCTTCAATATGATCCTGCTTGATCTCCCTCAAATTCTAACCAAATTTCAACCAACTTCCCTTATGCTGTGTCTAAAAATCTAATCAGTCTTGCAAATACTCTTTACCCTGCACCTACATCCTCTGGAATAGAGGATTCCAAAAGATTCACAACCCTATTGGTTAAGAAATTTCTGGTCACCTGAGTCCTAAATGACCACCCTCTTTATTCTGAGATTACAAACTCAATGTCAGGACTTTCCAAGCAGAAGAAATATCTACACTATCAGACCTGTATATATTTCGACGAGATCATCTCTCAATTTTAAATCCTGGAGACCAATCAGCCCATCCTACTTAACCAGTCCTCATTGATTCCTGGAATGAATGTTGCACAATCTAGCAGCCAAAGAGAACCCCTGATGGGAGCTATCCTGGAAAGCTCAGGTTTGCAAACACCAACTAACTAAATATTAAATAATTTTACCACATATTAACTTGAAAAGTATCAATTTACTCATATGTACTGCTGAGAAAAGGGATTAAAAAAAAAAACTTGGAAATGCACATTACCCCTTACACCTTCAGGATAGTAGAAGTATTTCACAACCAATGACTTATTTTATTCACTCATGGTAAATTGCTGATTGGGCCAACATTTATTGCCTATCCCCAAGTATCCTTAAGGTAGTGGTGAGCTGTCTTCTTGAACTGCTGCAATCCATGTGCTGGGAGTAGTCCCACTGTGAGGATGCTGTGGCTTTAAGAGCTGTCTTTTGTCCTGATTTATTTTAGAGAGAGGCTGGGAGACAGATGCTGAGCAGACAAACAACTTGTCTTTTTTTAAGTTGGAACAATAGAAGCAGCCTGAGTGGATGTGGTCAAGCTCTCACAAATCAAGGATGTTTAGCTAGCTTTCAGTATTGCGTGCTTGAAAAAGTGGAAGCTATTTTTCCGTCTCTCCATTACAGCCAAAAGCTGAGGATTCTCTTCGGAGACTGCTGAATTGCATGTGAGACAAAACCTATTTTCTGAATTAGCTTTTTTGTTTATGTGATGTTACTATATTGGAGCAGTTAATTAGTATGGTATCTATTTTTCTGTTAAGTCTTCCAATAGAGTTAAGTTATTCTAAGTTCCTCTTTCTTGTGTTGGAATTGAAATTTGAATTGGGTGTCAGTGAGCAGATTACTGCTAAGCAGGTGCTACTTGATAGCACCGTTAATGACACTGCCCATCACTTCACTGATGATTGACAGTAGATGGATTTGGCAGTAATGGTCATGGTTTGATTTGTCTTTTGTTTTTGTGCACAGGATATATCTGGCCAATTTTCCACCTTCTCAAGTAGATGCCAGCATAGTAGCTGTACTGGAGTAGCTTGGCTAGGGGTGTGGCAAGTTCTGGAGCACAGGTCTTCAGTATTATTGTTGAAATGTTGTCAGGACCCACAGCCTTTTCAGTGCCTCCAGCCATTTCTTAATATCATGCAGACTGAACTGAATCAGCTGAAGACTGGCATCTGCAATGGTGGGGACCTTTGGAGGAGGTAGAGATGTACCATGCACTCAGCAGTTCAGGGCTGAAGGATTGTTGCAAATATTTCAGCCTCATCTTTTGCACTGATGTGCTAGCTTCTCCCATCACTGAAGATGGGGAAATTTGTGGAGCTTAGACCTGATCCCTTGGCATGGGACAATTTGATGCTTTAGCTGTTTGGTATGCAAGCCATCCTGTTTGTAGCTTCATCAAATTGACCCCTCATTTTTTGGTTTGCCTAGTACTTCTTCTGGCATGCTCTCATCAGCTCTTCGAATCAGGGTTGATCTCTTGGTTTGATAGTAGAGTGAGGATATGCTCAGCCATGAAGTTGCAGATTGTGTTGGAATATAATTCTGTTGCTGATGGCCCACAGTGCCTCATGGATGCCCGGTCTTGAGCTGTTAGATCTGCTCAAAGTCTGTCCTATTTAGCACAGTGGTAGCACTTAAAAAAAATTGAAAAAGCAGAACCTTAATGGGAAGTTAATTTAGTTAATTGGCTAGGTTGCTGGTTTGTAATGCAGAGTGACAACAGCATAGTTTCAATTCCTGCACCACCTGAGGTTACCATGAAGTACTCTCCTTCTCAACCTCTCCTCTTGCCGAAGGCATGGTGATCCTCAGGTTAAACCACCACCACCACCATCACCACTCAGAGCAGCCCTATGGTGAAGCAGGACTATAGTAACTTTAACTTAGCATCATATAACATGATGCAAGGTCACAAAGTCTGTGTAGTAGTCACTCGTGCTGACACTAATGGACAAACACATCTACAACAGACATATTGGTGAGGATGAAGTCAAATGTGTTTTTCCCTCTTCCTTCTTTCCTTCTTCACCACCTGCCACAGACTCAGTTGAGCAGCTATGTCCTTAGGATTTGACCAGCACAATGAGGGGTGCTGCTTCTACTGAGCCACTCACAGGTGAATATTCAAATTCCCCCACCGGACTACATTTTGTGGCCTTGCAGCTTTCAGGAATTCCCTCCAAGTGCTGTTCAACAGGGCATAGCACTGATTCATCAGCTGAGAGAAGGCAGTCCCTGTGGTAATCAGCAAAAGATTTCCTTGCCTATATTTGACCTGATGTCATGAGACTTCATGGTGTCCAGAGTCAATGTTGAGGTCTCACAGGGGAACCCCCTCCCAACTTTATACTACCGTGCCACTACCTCTGCTTTGCCTGTCCTGCCGTGGAACAGGACATGTCCAAGGACTGTAATGGTGATATCTGGCAAAATAGCTGTAAGTTATGATTCCATGATTACATCAGGCAGCTCTCCCAATTTTGGCACTAGGTCAACAAGGCCGTTTCTTCTGTTGTCATCCTGGTCAATGATAGATGATCCATCTGGCTTCATTTCTTTGTTTTTCTAGCAATCAACAGAATGATATGGCTTCTCGGCCATTTCAGAGGGCAGACTAAAAGCAAAGGCCAGACCAGGCAAGGATGGCAGTTTCCTTCTCTAAAGGATATTACTGAACGGGACAGGTTTTTGACATTTGATGGTCATCATTAGACTTTTAATTCCATACTTTTATTGAATTCAAATTCCATCATTTGCCATGGAGGCATTTCTACCTGTGTCTCTGGAATTGCCTTTCTATAATTACTTTGTAATTGTATCACAGTCATTATGTGGACAAACATGACAGGTAATGGGCACACAACAAAAACACAATCGAAGTGATTAGCAGGAACACAACAGTAGCCATCAAAATGGCCGCTTGAAGAAATTAGCCTGCTAGCACAATTACCGGTGACAGACATCCCTGAGTTAGAATGAATCTGCACATCCCTGGCCATCATCACTATGTTCCATGCATAACAATGTCATACCAGCCGCACAGATGAAAATGCCTCTACTAAGGACAAAAGGTCTTAGAGTGGGGGACAAAAGCTGTGAGAGGGGACAACAGTCATGAAGGGTAGAGAAAGCTGGGTAAACCCTCATGGGTGGGTGAGGGAGAAATAGCAGCTCCAGGCTGAGTTTGGATTCAGTGGGAGAGTGACGATAGCACCATGAATTTTATTCCAGCTTTACCGAATACCCAAAGGCTGGCTTGGTATATGACATTTCTGGCAGGAAGGCAGATGCACCTGTCGCTTGGCAGTGATGTAGCACTGATGAGGTAGAGTTTATGCACTAGCATGCTCTTTGCACCACCAAGAGGTGGCACTACTACAAAACACAGTCAAAGATAAATAAGCAGATAATCTACCTTGGCAATGTTCATTGAGCAACGTGTTGATCAGGAGTCACCAACTGCTCTGTTCTTCTTTGAACTGTATCATGCTATCCTTTATATCCATCTCAGGAAGCAGAGGGATATTGTTTTAACATCTCATCAAAAAGGCAGTACCTCTGCCAATGAAAAACTACTTAACTTTTTTTTTCCATTTCTGTACTGCACTGAAGTATTAGCCTAAATCACAAGCAAGGACTGGTTTGAACCTACAACTTCTGACTCAGGTTCCCCAAAAATAGCTCTGAGCCAACAGATTTTCTTCAACTCTTTCTTAATTATTTGTTTTTTGTCTTGTGGCAAACTCCATGCCATTTGCAAAAAAGCTCTCTCTCCAAAGATTGTAGCATTTCTAAACATTTAAAAGCTACTGTCGGCAGCTAATTAACTACAGCTAATCCCAATCCTGTTCTCACTTGACAACGTGCCAAAATTTAGCAATGATCACTGCATAATGAGAAGCAAACACCAAAAATGGTTTTCTTCCTACCTCATAAGTAATGTTAATTATTAGCATTCCCTGCTGTGATCATCACCCCAAAAGTCATCTGCCAACTCAGATTAGGGATTAATCCCAAAATGTTTCCGTTCGGTGTGTTTTGGCTGCTCACTAATGTAAACATATTCTTGAAGTCATCGATGAGCACACAACAAAAAATGCAAACATTCTCCTTTGTTTATTTAAGCTTTAACACCAAGTTATAGATCTATCTTAATTAACCCATACAGGCATGTTATTACACACTTCTGGAGCAGGTGGGACTTGAACCCAGGCCTCTTTGTTCAGAGGAAAGGATGTCAACATTGCACCACAAGAGTCCCCATACAGTGTGCAAGCGTTTACAAGGTAGTCTTCTCCTGGTCATGACATGGAATTCAGAAAATTGAAAATAAGCAGAAAAAATTGATTTACCAAACCTAAATAAAGCTTCCACAACAACCAATGGAACAGGACTGAAACATGTTTTACTGACTGCTTTGTTCCATTCACATCAGCAACCATTCAAATGTCAAGGAATTTAAAAATAAAAATGCATGCCTTGGTGTGAAAATGACAATAGGCACCTCAATTCCAGGCTGAACAAAAATTGTTCAGTTGGGAACATTTCTTTAAAAGCAAACCCTTTACTTCCTCACCTGTATATCCTAAACTGCTCTTTCTCATCAGAAGACCAGGAGGAATATTCTTCATCAGAGGGAAACTGAGCCTTGTGTAGCAGAACATCAACCAGTTGAAAATAGACAGGACGATAAACCTGCAGATACACCACCTGTTTCTCTGCTTCAAATGACATTATGTCATCCTAAATATCAGACAAAAAGGCAATACTTAAAGTTATTTTAATAAGAAATGCAAAAGAGTACAGGGCTCAATGCTTTACACATTACATTAAAAGCAAAAATGATTTCCCTCCAATTTTCACTGAGAACATCGCTAGTTAAATATCTTAAATCAAAATCTATACCCCCATTAGTAAACAGAGGAATAAATGTATCACGCTATTTAAAAAAGAAACAATTTTATCTGAACTAAGCTTTTGATATATGAACATAAAATTACAATTTTAAATGAATTCCCAAAGCAAATCATTCTAACAGTTCACTCAAAATTATTGTACTAAAAACTAAAAAAAAATTCTGTTCACTAAGTATTTAACTTTGAGGTCGCATGGGAATGTATAATCCCCAATGAGTTGCAGAAATGCATGGAAAACAACAAATTCTAAACAAAAGCAATGATCTAATTCCACCCAACCAAGCTGGCCAGCCTTATATTGAATAATAAATGCAGAGTTGAGAGATTCAGCATTTAGTTTGATCTCGTTATTCCTTACACAAGTTTTCAAATCCAGATGTGTACACAGAAAGATTCATAGGAAGCAGCACAATTTCTGCTCTATAAAATTGAAATTAAAATTGAAATTGAAATTAATAAAATTAAAAATGAAAAAAAAACCTGGAGTCAAGGCATTTGATAGGCTTGTCCAAATGGCAACGCATAACAGGCCCTAGGGGCAGCCTATTCTCTCAAACTCTCAAGATGTATGCTTACCTAATTATATGTATTTTAAATTGTAAATATTTACACTTTTGTACAACACTCAGACATAAAAGACGAGAAACAAGACTTCTGACTCTGCTCCACATTCATTAAGATCATAGCTGGTCTTTTATCGCAGCTCCATCTTTGTGCACTAATGCCGTAACTTCCAACTTCCAGTGTATCCAAAAATCTATTACCCTTTGACAGTGACTGATAGCCCACAGCTATGATGTAGAATTCTAACGATGCAAAATTCTAAATTTATGCTTGTTTCTCCTCACATAACTGTTTTTTGACTCATCTTAATATTCTTTTAACCATCTGTGTCTGTGTATTTCTGAAACAACAAAAGGTGCTACCACAGGCGCAACATGAAGCCAAATGGATTCTGACAGACAATAAACAAGCTCAATTAGAAATTGTCAAGCTTCCAAAATCAGGATTCTAATGCATCTCGAATACAGTTTGGATGGACGCTAGAAGCACATTATTGGTGGGATTACAGAATTGTATTCCAAACGAAGTTTAAGGAAATTAAAGTATTAGAATAACGTTACAAAATAGTGGCGGTTTCTCAAACCTTTTGCAAAGCTTTCAAATGATAGGTACCAAGAAAACACAGAAGGAGCAAATGGAGGATGTCATTACAGACAAACAAAAATATTTGAACATCAGTTTAAAGGCTGCAGAAGTGGGGACGCATAAAAGGATATTGATAGGCGAAGATCCTCTTTTCTCGCCCCCCACCCTCCGAAGTAACACTCCCATTGGAAACCATAATTATGAGGAGAGTCCCGATATACTGGAAACTTTAGGGCTCGGCACTTCATAATTTTAGTACTTTAAAATTCTCAGCTTTGTTTTCAAATTACTTCATGGCAACTTCTCAGATATGTACACTCCTCTAATTCTGACCTCTTGCACACCTCAAGTTTAAAAGTCATTCCTCCAACAGCAGTTGTGCCTACAACCGTTGAACCCCCCAAGCTCTAGAATTCTTTCCTCTTGCAACATATTCCTTAAACATGTATTTGATCAAGCTTTTGGTCATTTACACTAATATCTCCAGCTGACTTTGTATCAACTTTGGTTTGATAATCCTCCCATGAAGAACTTACCGGCATTCTGACATTTTGTTATGTTAAATGTGCTGCAAAAGTCCAAGTTGTAGCTGTTGTTGTAAAAACAAAAAAATGCTGCAGATACTCTGGTCATGTGTTAGCTTTTTCCAATGAACTGAAGTGTTAAGTCTCTTTCGTTCCACAAATACTGCCCCACTGGCTCAGTATTTCCAATTTCTGTATGGAATTTCCAGTTTCTGTAGTACTGTGGTTTTGTATTCTTGATGTCCTTTCTGGAAGCGATGGTCTAATTATGCTCAAATAGAGCAAACGTTTTATTAACTAGCATTTTCAGGACCAGAGGTGTGTTAGTTGACCAAATATTCCAGATAATCAAGAGGTATGCATTACTGCAGTAAACTCTGACCAAGCAAAGCTTCGAGACGTCAACACCTCTCAAAAAGAAATGTAAAATCATCATCACTCCTTCTAAATCAAAGTCAGAAGTCACACAACACCAATTATAATCCAACAGGTTTGTTTGAAATCACAAGCTTTCAGAGCATAGTGAATCAAACTGTTGGACTATAACCTGGTGCCGTGTGACTGACTTTGTCCATCCCATTCCAACACCGGCACCTCCACATCTAAAATCAAAGTAACAGAAACATCATGCAGGTGGTATACACATCATTCTGATGCTTGATTTACAGCTTAAGTACTCAGGTGATCATGGTATTCGAGGTATATAATTTTTGCGAGTTTATCATCAAATATGCCGATTCATAAGGTGTCAGTTAAAACAAAGTTTGCAGTACTTTATATAAATGTACTCTCTCTTTTCTCGTTTTGTTTGTCACTATTTTTAAAACTCAAAATGCCAATAGTGTCCTTAACCAGCATTCACACTTTAGCGGATTAGCAATTTAAACCTTAGGTTTTATTATTCGTCCATTTTCTTCAGTATCCTTCCAATGAACTTGTATACTGTTTCATCATAATGCTACAAAATGTACAATCTTTTTCTTATTATTCTTATACATTATGCCTCTATTTATGAAAAGATTCAAGAATACAAAAGCCAGCAAAAAATAAAATGTGCAAAGAGAAAGCCATTAATGAAAGGTCTAGAATAAACACTTGAATATTGCTCTACACCTTGTTAACTCAGATTCTCCAGCATCTGCAGTTCCTTCTATCACTTGAATATTGCTGTCATTTCCATCACCTTCCATATATTTATGGACATTTAGCAACCACAGATGCTCATTACACGTAGATACAATTCAGATCTGACTTCCTGAAGGCCTGGAATATCCCCAATCCTCAAAAACATATAGATGAAATGTCACTGACTTAGGATAGCAGCTTCTTAAATTGTTACCCGCAATCTCGGAAAACAATGCTGTTATACAAAGTGGGCAGAATTCCAAATTGGCTAGTGGAAAGGTCCATTGTTGATGTTGGTGGAAACTAGAGCCATATTAAGATCATTGCTAGCACCACAGTTGTTCACACTTTGTATTAACAGTTCAGACTTTATAATCAAAATCACAACTTATAAATTTGGAACACACACAACCTGTACCTGAAGACTGCACAATCTTCTTGGGAATGGTACCCAAAGGCTGTTCGCAAAGAATTTAATTTCAAGATCCATATGTTTTAGGAATATAACTTTTTTGGGATTGAAGTTCTAAGTTTAAGATGAATGAAAAGCCCAGATGAAAGGCTGGTAAATACATCAGAAGTATTTATAATTCAAAAAGTGGCATATGGTTATTAAATAAGGTCAGAGTTGGAAATAGGAAAATAGTAAAATGTGGCTTCGACAATGCGCTCAACCTTATATTTTTGGACTAAGTGTCAGTTATGTAGAGTTTTTGAAGACTTTTTGCTATGAGGCTCAGCAAGATTTCTTGGTAAAAACTTGTTTCAATGAATCTTGGTAAGCAAGTCCATAGATCCCTGAAGATTTCAGCACAGGTAGACAGGGTGGTGAAGAAGGCATATGGGATGCTGGCCTTCATTAACCGGGGTGTAGAATATTGGAGTAGGAAGCCTTGTTGCAAATTTACTGGGCATTGCGTAGGCCACACATAGAATACAATGTGGCGAACAGGACTGCACACAAGCAGAAGGATGTGACTTCACTGGAGAGGATGTTGCCTGGGATGGAAAGTCTCAATTTGTTTTCCTGGGAGCAGAGGAGGATGAGGTGGGATTTGATTGAAGTGTACAAAATTGAGAAGCATAAATAAGATAGGTAGTGAGAAACTTTTCCTTATGACAGTCATGTCTAAGACCAAAGGGCATATGTTTAATGAGGAGGAGAGGGTTAGAGGGGATCGAAGAAAAACTTTTTTCACCCAGATGCTGGTAGAAATATGGAATACGCTACCTGAGAGGGGAGCTGTTTCAGGAATGGCAAGTGGTAAGATGGGGCTAGAATTGGAAGAGGGATGCAAGTAGGGTTGGTGTAGATAGTTAGTACAGTCATACAGCATGGTGCATGCAAGTACTCTTGCAACAATAAAAACATCTGGACAAGTACTTAAAACGTTGTGGTTGGTTGGCTCGCCAAGCTGGTTCATTGTTCCAGAGACATTTCATTACCCTGTTGGGTGACGTCATCAATGCAGCCTCCGATGAAGCGTTGTTGTGTTTTCCCACCTGTTACTTAAACTCTGGCGTCTGTTGAGCTGGGTTACCTCACTTCCGGTTTTCCTTCGCAGTGGAGTATATATATGTCTAGCTCTGTGTGTTTGTTGATGGCCTTGTTAGTGGAGAACCAGGCCTCTAGGAATTCCCATGCTTCTCTCTGCTTGGCCTGTCCCAGGATCCTGGTGTTGTCCCAATCAAACTGGTGGTTTTCCTTGCTCATCTCCATCCATATGGATGAGTATTGGTCGTGCCTTTTTGTTGCTAGCTGATGTTCATGTACTCTTGTGGCTAATTTTCTTCCTGTCTGTCCAATTTAATGTTTGTCACAGTCTTTGCAGGGGATCTTGTATATTACATTGGTCCTGTCCATAGTGGGTAACGGGTCTTTGGTTCGGGTTAGCAGTTGGCGTAGTGTTGATGTGCTACTCTGATGCCCAGTGGTTGTAGGAGTCTTGTGGTCAGTTCAGATGTGTTCTTGATGTAAGGTAGCGTGATGAGGGTGTCGGGGTATGCAGTATCTTCCTGGTGTCGTTCA